TTCCAATGGCGGACGTTCCTCTTTCTCCGGGTTCCCGAACTACCTCCTGCCTCAGCTACCAACTTCTCACAACAGCTCAAATTCAGTCATTCACCGAATCACTACACTCTAATGCACTGAACTAATTAAATTCAACTTCGTTCCTCCACTTAACGGCTTCCACCTACTTCACGTCACTTCACTCAACCGACTAGAACTGGACACTTCAGTCTCTAAAACGAGGGTAAGAGGAATTACGAAAAAGAACTGCGTAACACAGGGATTTAGTTACACATATAATATTCATAAATATTAATCGCATACGTCAAGTTCTCTTACAAAACCTGGAATGTTTGTTCTGTCATTTTATTTGTAATCCGTATGTTCAATAAATGCTCGTACCAAATTAATATATATGTTAATTGCTCATATCCATACACAGCTTCTCGTTATTTAGTAAAACGTTTATTATAAATTAAATAAAAATGAAAGAAATATTCTCTTCTTCACCCAATATCGTTATTTCAATTTCTGTATAATAATCAGTATTAGTTATGGTTCTTACCGCCCTTTCTCCTCCTCCTTGCTTCTTAGTAATTCACACTGGGTCGCCTCTTTAGGTTCTTCTTTCTTGTTGCTAAATTTATCTCAGGGTTATTTTAAAGGAAGGGGTTTTGTTGATTTGGTAGAGCTGAGTACCTCTTATCTCAGAGCCTTGAACGGGCCACAACTTAGAAAAGGAATAAATTAAACACAACAAATCACAAGCACTTCTCAAGTTTGGACGAATTATATTGAACACTTGTTTAACCACTTTTGATACACTTTCAATGTCAGTAACCTTTATGTCTAACTGCTTCGGAGCCCGGTGTGTAACTTTTTGCGGCTAATTCTAACGACCCCGTTTTCCGAATTTACGTCTGTTTCTCATGAGTCCCCTTTCCGACTGATGCTAAAACATGACGCTTCCTCAAACCTTCAATTCCTGCTTTCACCAGCGTCACTGCTTTGTCACACCCTTAAATTTTAGTGATTGGCTAATTTTGAAAAATAGGAGTATCTTAATTAGATATTCCTCCACTCCGTTTAAGGCTTACAAGCGTTTAAGGATTTTTGACTCCAACGTATTTCTGTCAGAAAGTGACAAATGCTTAAGCGTCGCTTGGGCCCTAAAAACTTCACTCTTTTTAAGTTATGGCATGCACAAACTGCCAAGTATTGAATTTACAAAAGATTTCTTTACCCTATTCTTTAACGCAGCTTGCACTAATAAACCTTTGACGGGTGTCTTCCTGTTTCTTGTTGTAAGCTTGGGAAACGCTTACCCTTACATACAAAAATTTACCTACGTCTCACTACCCTTTTTAACTGCATTTCATTTTGAACAATTAAGCTTTCAAATTAATAAAGTTGATTACATTAAATAAGTTGCGTAGCAGTGGAACGGTTACATCGTATACAAGTAATTCGTGACCTAACAAGGCAAAATGAAATCACGCGAAGAAATTATGACGCCATAATTTTTTACATTGATACTACATTTTACGGATAGTGTTACTGCATCTTGCAATTACTAAAAAGTATTTGTTGAAAAGTATATTAACTTAACTAAAATGAAAAGGGTTTCCTTCCCTTCTTTTAATTTCATAAGGGTATAGTTTAGTGGGCCGGGGGTCACGGTAGCCGAGCGGTCTAAGGCATGTACCGTCTTCACTCGCTTGGAAACCGGGATCGCGGGTTCGAATCCCACTGAGGCCACGGATGTTTAGTTTGTGTGTCTGTTTTTTCTGTGTTTATGTACAGGTAGAGGCCTTGCGACGAGCTGATCACCCGCCCAAGGAGTCATACCGAATGTGTAAGATCTAGAAAAACTTAAGTGAACGGAGAAGTTCATGGAGGTAGGCCTAGATCCACTGGGGCTGTATTGCCAAGCAAAATAATATTTTAATGGTTCCAATTTATGTCCCAGAAGACAGCACTGACAGATTGTGTACATGTTTGCAATTTACAACTTTACAAATAATGAATTCCACTTAAAACTGTGAATATATCAACAACAGAAGAAACAGTGGATGATCATGAGTGGCTACAAAAGTATGTCGCTTCATATTTAACGTACGTAGAGTTAAAATATCAACAAATTTATGTTCTCTTCTTCATAGAGAGGGACAATATCCCATCATGTTACGAAATACATTTCAAACAATTTTTGTTTGAAAGTTAGAATTAAATTCATTCATTAAAAACAGGACATGGTTATTTACGGAAGGCAACAGGTAAACACCAACAGAATAACACACACGCAATATACTTGCTGTTTTCCAAAGTTCTTTATTTGAGGTTCTATTGAAGTGGTGGAGGACAATGTGTCTCTAATCTAAGAGGGCAGCATGATAATCTTCCGGACATCATGAGACCTGCTTAGGTTATTATTGATTTCCAGTTCACAGAAAATTTACAATTTATTTTAATACTTTAGTGAAAAATAGTGCATTGATGTAGGAGCTATGAATGTGAGTGTGGGTGAACGTCAATTACAATACAATTCTGCACACAGGTTTCCTTTTCTATATTCCGCACACACACACACACACACACACACACACACACAATTACAGATACATACATGCACATACAGTCAGTCTCCACAACGTCTATAATATAACATGTCAAGGAAAATTAATTGTGATATTTATAAATGGAATTTATCCTTCCAACCATATTTTATCAGCTGATGTACGCTATCATTTCATATCTGCTGCAGAGTAGACCCTGCCTGACTTGAATTGCCGACATGACGCCAATGAATCAGACGTTCGTTTCATATATTAAGACATAAAATATAACAGAACAATTATCGTTATGTATATTTTTTAATATAATATAAAGGCTGATGTCATAATATTTTATTTTATTTGTTTTTGTATTGCATATTTCGCACGTATTGGATACCCCTCGGTGTTCGCATTACTTACTCATAATTTTGTAACACGACGTTGATACTTGTCTAACCGTGTTCAAGAAGATACTCTCGTTAGTTACTTTGCATGAGTAAACAATATTTGTTGTTGTGTGGAATTCCAGTCTAGAAAATTGAGATTAACGGCCGTTGGGGATCCGTTGCGCTGACCACGTGATGCCCTCTATCCGCTAAAGTTGATACTAACTTCGCCGACAAGCGGTTGTCGCTCTGTCGGTATAGTTCGCTTGTGGACTAGAGGGCAAGAAATTTTTGTTTTTTCTTGTTGTGTGGAATACCTCAAATTTTCATATTAATCCATTTATCAACGCTCTAATTCTTAAGTTGGCCACTTCATTCTTCTCTCTATCTTGCTTTCAATAATGCAGAAAGTGACGAAGACAAAACATACAGAACGAGAAGATTGGAGCATAAGAACCCGGAAGGAAACGCCAGGAAAACTGAGCGAGTAAAACACCGAAATTTAAAAACTGAATATTATGCAAGATTTGAGGTTTTCACGGCGGTGAATATGAAGAAAGCAGTTTTTTGGGATGTGGCACCGTATAGATGTGGTGTTAACCGACGTTTCGGAGGAACGTATCGCCTCCATCTTCAGGGTAGAAGGAAAAATAAGAAAATCCGCAAGTAAAGAGACCGTGAGAACCGGTACAAACAGACGTACCGGTACGTACCGGTACCCGTTCTCACGGTGTCTTCGCTTGTGGATTTTCTTATTTTTCCTTCTAACCTTTAGATGGAGGCGATACGCTCCTCCGAAACGTCGGTTAACACCACATCTACACAGTGCCACATCCCAGAAGACTGCTTTCTGAATATAATGCGTTGACCATTATAAAGAACTGAGGTTTCTACCAATTTTAAGTGAGACGCAGCTGTGTCAAGCTCTTTATGACGTTTGACTTATTAGCATTGTCAGTATGCAGTAAGGAAATGTTGTGCTATACAAAAATGAATATATATAAACATCGGCCCAACACGTATCAGACAAAGCAATGTAGAGGTAAATCTAGGAAATTGTATCCTGGAGGTGCTTGGTTCTAATCTAGGGCAGGAACACCTATTGCACACGGTAGAATAGTTGGTTGAGGCACTATGTTACAAGCCGGAAGATCACGTGTTCGAGTCTCGATGAGGTGAATTCTTTTCAGTTGACCTAATCCTTCCAGCCTCACTATGGCCCTGGAGTCGACTCAGCAGGGCGGCCGGCGCGTAAGGCTGATAAACTTTCCGCCATCTGTGAGCGAACTGTCTAGATAAGGTGGGAACCTCGACGTCTCACAACCATATGGGCCTCCGTAGCCTGTTATGGGGAGAGCTTCATACTGCATCATGCACAGCAAAAATCAATATTCTGTTGCCCACGACACAGTCTTACGAACGTGGGTCAAAATTACTTATTCACACTTTCGTTTAAATTATGTGGGTGGCCATAGAGATATTCCAGCAAAGGTTTAGGGTCTATTATAAACTGAAAATTTTCTTTCGCCATAGCATACAGAAGGCTGTGGGAATGATCGTACACTTCTACAATTGGACTCGCTAGTTCTCGAGTGCAGTCTCCATGTTGTGGAGTTTTATCCTTTCAGGCAATACGAAAATATCAGGCCTACACAATAATTCAGAGGCATCGGCATTTTGTATTACATCAAGCCATTAGACACCTTGTAGTCTGTAAATTGTTTAATTCGTCAACCTAGTTTTCCTATTCAAGGTTTACTAATTTCTCTGTCATTCCTTTCTTGTTGGAAGCTTAATTCGATGGAGGCGAGTGTCTTCAATCTATTTTCGGCCAAGACCACGGTTTGAGCATTACGATAATTTGTAAATCTTTTAACATGGCCGCGCCATAGCTCATGCGGTTAGTCGCTGGCTTCTCACCGCGGCGGCCCGGGTTCGATCCCGGGTCTGGTCAAGTGGGATTTGTGGTGGGCAGAGTGACGCTGGGCAGGTTTTCTCCGAGTACTTCGGTTTCCCCTGCCAATCTTCATTCCACAAATTGCTCCACAATCACCCTCACCTATCATCTGGGGCTGGTACAATAGGCCAGAAGTGGCCGCAGTACGAGGAACTTGGTCCCCCCCCCCCCACTAGCAATTACAGAAACCTTTTTAACAGCATCTTGAATGCTTTTCTGAAATAAGTCTTACACACAGGAATAAATTTCATTCATGTATTCCTAAATTTTGTTGTTAGTTTTGGAAGCTTCATAACTACACACAACTTTCAAATTGTACGTACTGCATGCAGCAAAGTTTAACTGTGCAGAGTGCACCATACTTCACCGGAATCTTATTACTGCGAAAGTGTACTGGAAAATAATGAGTTCAATCACAATATTTACATAAGGGTTCTACTTCAGGCTCTCAGTCCAACCTGTCGATTCAATTTCAGAAAAATTTCCATGCTTCTATATTCTTTAAACAACAGACTACTCTGCAGCATATATGATAAGAGAAACGTATTTATTATCTCATTCATATAACATTCTGCTAACATTCTAATATGTTTACTTTTATTTCCTTGAAGGTTCTTACCTCTAGAACTGGAACTACGAGTGCCTTCATTGAGTTCCTGAAGTTGCAGTTATAACCTCACTTCACCAGTTGACCTGTGCGATCCCCGAGGACTAGGAACTAGTCTTACTTTAATTTTTCCGTTTCATATAATTTTCCTCTTCTTGAATACTCCGTTAATAGTCATAGACATCTTGGTAAAAATGTGAAATTTTCCTAGAAAAGCCAAAATTATATAATTTTTGGATGTTGTCTCAGTCTAGCCACACAACAAAATTTCCCATTCCTCATAAGATTCCCATTTGGCACCTCAGTAAAAATTTTATTTCACAGCCTTTCTGAAATTCTAATACTGGCGACCTTCTGAACAAAAATAGAAAACGGATATTATTCATGAAGTAGAAAATAGGCAATATGTATTACAATTGGATAAGTATATCTCATAAATTAGTGTAAATTAATATTACTTTAGGTTACCAGAAGGTACTAGCCTCTTCGCGCATGCTTAAGATAACGCAGACAACAAAATAACAATTCTCGTGCCATGCAGTGTTGATGTGGTGTTCAGAACTGACAGTTGTATCATTCTCAGCACCACTGAACAATAATGGTATGTGTTTCAGTTCCAAACATACTGCAGTAGCCTCAAGTGATACCAACTTTACACACGTAACGGATTTGATGATTCTTCATACGCACTTTAAGTCATTTTAACTATGTAGTGATTAAATATTGGCAGCAGAAGCCAGTGCAAAACGGAGCAGCAACTTTTGCTGAAAGGGAGATTGAAGCTCATCTTACTCTTGTAATGAAACTGAGATAAGTTTGAAGAGCGATCAGGCCTTCATGTGCCTTCAAGATTAAAATTTGAATACTAATAAATCTATGTGAAACCGAAAATTGTATAAGTCCCTTTTAATTCTGGTTCGAAATACATTAACATATATGATATTATGTATATATTTATTTTTTTCCCTCACAAAAATATACAGGCATATAGATATTTTTTCTTTTGAACTGGGAAAACTTTCAATTTTTGTGCCACCTTTCATGTATATTCAAATGAGCGTGGATGCAGTTTAGACTGCCACTGAAACCACTGACTCGACAGGTATATTCACGTCTTTGGAGCGATAATATTTTCACAAAACCAGTTACTCTTCAAATTTTCAGCTTTTCTTGAATGACTCCAATTGCAGAGGAACGATGAATTCATAAGATTCAGACAAAATGGTGGCGAATACAGTGTTGTTATCTTGAAGCTTATTCTACACAATTGCTCCTCGTTGGGTAAAGGAGAATTACGAACTTTGATTGCATAGTATTCCACTCCAAAAGTAACACGTTGTTATTATTGATGATGTTCGGTTTTCGTCTCTTCAAACTTCCAGTCACATTCAAACTGCATGAATTACTAAAGACAATCTGTAACCCTATGGACAAACAAGTTCGAAGTGTAGCAGTCATTGTTTATTTAAGGGCACAAGATAGGTTTCCTGTGGTCAGCACGGATTCTCCACATAATTTTGGTCGTCATTTTCGTCGTACACTCTTCTCCAAACATAAGTTACTTAACACTATAATTCCATGAGATCCGATTATAATAGACAAAACTTCAACTCAGGGTTCCACATAATCGACTTCGCACCATTAATTAATGTGAACAAAACGTTTATCATACTGCAGCTTTTGCTTTACTTAAAGGGAAGGTAATGGCTTACGTTGACTGGTTATGGGCAATGCCTACAAAGGTTTGCAGTTAAAAACTGAAACTACAAATTACTTTCATTCAATGTGGTCTGAGAGTTTCGTTGCTTATTCGTGTTGGACCGTAATGGATTATAGGCTACAGATTATCATCTTAATATTCGCAATGGACACAGTATTTTCAAAATATATCTCCTTAGTTATTATCCAGTATCACCTATATTTAAGACTCTGGAATCATGGCAGTATGTCTTCCAATCCTTATAATAATTCGGACAAGACTAAGAAATATATGTGTCTTCCATTTGGGCACTAAGTAACTTCGAAGCCATATGATACAACGCAAGTCACGAGCACCACCGCAATAAACATAACGAAATTCCTTGCACCGTATCTACTTGTAGCCACACCATGCGGAGATGCACTGTCGTCGGCCATGACACTACTGGCGACAACAACACCTCCGCGGACAACACCGGGATTGGGTTCCGGTGCTGGGGCAGAACAAGCGGCAGGCCCTGGATCACTTGCTGAGTAGTTATCAGGACCGCCGTTGCAGCGCTGGCTGTGTTCGCCAAGACAGGCAGCGTAAGCGATGGCATGAGGAATGTAACTCTGGTCAAAGGAACCAGAGAAGAGCTGAGACGCTAGCGGACCCTGCCAAAAAGCAAATGGCGCTTTTTAATGGCAATTGTGAGTACAGACGAATACCCACATTATCCATTGCCAAAAGAAAAGCATTACAATAACAAAATTATGTTCAGTATGTTAATATGTTGTAAGTTGTATAGAACATCGTACAAAAACTAGCTTCATAGTCTCCCCTCTTCGGCAAATTTTAAAAGGTTTTTCAAATCAAAGAAGGTGAGATTGGTGGATATGTGACACTCGTAATGTAACTGCATGAACAATTTTAATCTGAAACAATCCAATTACCAACTCGAACGCCGTTTTAGTCACTGATATACGTGACAATACCATATAATTATGGCAAGTATTTAGACCATTTAACCTGTTAGGCACCATTCTACTCAAAATCTGATACCAACGCCAACGTTGTCAATTAAAATATGACATTGTCACACGGATAGCCTTTCCTTTTTTTTCCGCTTAGTGGGGGGTGGAGCCTAACTGGGTCCAGTCGGCACGGCGACACTGATTTGCTTATTGTAGCCTGCCCCGGGTGATTATGATGATGGAGAATTTGGTGGAATGAAGATTGGCAAGGGAAACCGAAGTACTTGAAGAAAACCGGCCCCAGTGCCACTTTGTCCATCACAAATCCCACTTGACAAGACCCGGGAACGAACCCGGGACGCCGCGGTGGGAAGCCAGCGACTAACCGCTTGAGCTATGGCGCGATCTTAGCCTTCCCTTACGTATATGACTGATAACTTCCAGTCACTTAAACTTTGTAGCACAACTATTAAATTATTTTTACTACCTGACTGACTACGTAACTAATTGATTTCAGGAAGCAGAGTCCTTTTTCAGAAGCGGATAGTAACTCATCTGTTGAATATATTCTTTCACTTTATGTAACCCGAAATTTAATTACAGTTTTTACAAGAACCCGCCACTAGATGCTGTTCTAGAACTGCTGAATTATTAAACCTCATCTATTTTTAAGACCATTAATGCACACTCTGCATTATGTCCTCCTTCGAGTCATCCTGTTAAAATTGTATATAAATATCTTACCGTCCCTGTCGTGTTACATGCTCCGCCCATCCCATTCTCATTAAATACGTCTCCCTATTTATGTAAGTTTATAGCGAAGAATAGAAATCACAATATCCTCACTATCCGTCGTAAGATAAAAAAAGGTAAGGCTATCCCTGTAACAGGCCGTGGAGGTCCATAGGGTTGCGAGAGGTCGAGGCTCCCATATCTTCTGGACAGTCGGCTCGCAGATGGCTGTAATGTTGTCAGCCCTATGCGCTGGACGCCCTTTACCCCCACCCCCCACCCCCAGGAAGATTTCTGGTACTTATTTCTGTGAGAGGCTGAGTCGACCCCCAGGGCAATAGTGCGACTGGAAGGATTAGGTCAATTGAAAAAAAATCCACCTCATGGGGACTTGAACCCGTGACTTTCCGGCTTGTATCACAGTGCTTCAACCAACTACGCTACGGCTTGCCCCCAGTTTCCTTCGTACTACCTGAAAATTTACATTCATTACACACCCACATAACAAATAATATAGCACCTGAACAACAAAATTCAGGTGATTTAGAGTGGCAAAAACTGGCTATTCGACGCTGAATTCGAAAATCAGTTAAGAAAAAATGTCGGTTCCTCGACGTTTCACAACGTTATGGGCCTCCACGACTTCTTATAGGGATAGCTTTATATTTTACCTTATAAGATTCCTAAAAGAATTATTCAGTATCAGCTATGTAGAGTCAGTATAGAGAATTCTCATTGATCAGCCCCCTCTACGTTCTCCTTGAACTGTTGCGCTTGCCATGTCAGCATATTTCTCCGTATGTTCACAGCCGTGTAGTTACTTTCTTGGCATGGATTTTGGAAGTGATATTGAAGACACGTTTTGTAGTATAGGACTTAGGTCGGAGAGGAATGCAACTGTAGCAGTGAGATGGGAGCCTCAGACGCCCTCACTTTTATTACTCACGGAATCGATGTCTGTGCTCTAACTCTAACTTACCTGGGCATAGATTGGGACATCTTCTCCCCCATGAGTGGCCCATTGTCGGGGCACAGCAGATCCATGCACGGAATTGCGGCCCGCCGTCTCTGAGGAGGAGGAGTTGCTGGGCACAGGTCGAGGCTGGGAGAAACCAGGTCCGTTGCCATAGAGCAGAGTGGAGTAGGGTAAACCATCCACATCTGACGTTTTGCTGTCTATTCCTGCAGCAGACATACATATCTCAGATTGAGCTTGAAAATTATGCATCATCATCATTTGTTACGAATTCCATGGAGAAGATGCTGACAGTCCCTCAAATTCTCAGAAATTTCTGTCTTTTATGGAAACTGAAATTTCAAATGGCTCGTCACAGGAACATATATTGAGAAAGTGTAATATTTTGGGCGTGAACAAATGAAGGAGAGTGAGATGGGGAAATATAAAGCAAACGTAGAAAGGACAGAAATATCATGACATTAGTTGGGGAACCTGTAGGCAACCTGGGATACTTGGGCTGAGGTGGGATAGTGTTAACAAAATGGACGTTGAAGTAATAATGTTAGGTTAGGTTTATCTGACCCGCTTATCCAGTGATCTACTCCAGTCCACAACTGAATGAACGAACCTTCATTTTCCATTAAAAACAGGGATCGTTTGACTAATTGAGCAACTATTAATTTCTGAAAACAATTCTGCTCTAATTTATTAGTCTACAAATAATTACTGTAATTGATTTGTTAAGTAGCTCTGTCCGAGAACAAAATCATTAACGTTTACAGTGCACGCCTGTTGACCTTGTTGACTGAATGCAGAGAGTCCTCAGGAAGGCGCTCAGCTATCGAGAAGAGCGAATCTGTCCCTGCTGACCAGTTACTGGGATAACTTATGGACCATTTTCAGGCAAATCATATAACTTTTCTGCCGGAATTTCTGAACACACCTCTAGCGCACTAGGACTTGTCATATCTTCGGACGGTAGCAGGAAGTGACATCGATCACTGCAACAACCACGGCACCAGCTGCCGTCGCTCTCACATCTCCCTTCACATTTTGATTTCTCTTCTAGATCATGGATTAGTAACTCCTGTCCAGAGATGAAACAATTCAGTCTCCTGGGAATGACGGTCTGTAGTATTCTAGGTACGTACCAGAGTTCAAACAATTATACAGCATCATATTCCAGAAGACAATAACATTAATTCTAACAACAGCGAGAGCATCATATCTAAAGAAAATCGTGGAATGTTGAAACGTTGCTAGGCAACGACCACGAAACAAGCAACTATACAACAGCCTCTGCTTTCAGAGAACTGCTAGTGTTAGTCGCTTTTAGCTGTTGGTGTTAGAAGCTGGTAACTGAGGCCGGGGACAGTTCGGAGACACAGAGGAAGGAGAATGTCCACCGTTGGAAGCCGCTAACAACCAACGGTAGTGAAGATATAGCTGTGGATCCTAGTGAGTGTGTGTGTGTGTGTGTATGTAATAGTGAACTGTAGTGGCGTGCTGTATAAAAGAGTCCAATAAATCCGGTCATCAAACCAAACCCCGTCTATATTCACTCATACACGTGACAATACTCTATGGTTTGTATTCCTGTAGCTATCAATATTAACTCATTCGTTTACTATTTCTTGCAACATATATTCTTCACTGTTCCTGGGGAAGGGCCCCGGTACGCATTGGATAGGAGACTAGGTGGGCCCCAGAACCGGTCCAGCCGGTAGCCAGTCGCTAAACCGATTCTCCTATCCCCGCTCCCAAATAAAAATAGAATACAAATATATTTTAAAAGTACTGTCTTCCAAGATGTGGCGTGTAGTCCGGTAAAATCCCACCGACGTTTCAGAGAAAAATACTTCCTCTACCTGCAATGTAAAAAATTAAGCCTAAAGAGGTACAAGCAAGAAGCAGAATCAAGCTGATTTCTTGCTTCACTTTACCTTTACAACCTTGAGACCCTCAGGGCCAACAAGGTAGCACATCTGTCACCTTCACACACTCTCTCAGCCCACTCAGCAAAACAGAGACAAGTAAATCGTAAAATTAAAAATAAAAATCGTACCTAAAATTGGATTCCCTCGGGGCGTGGCCAGACCTCCAAGCGTCATCACATGCGAGTGATCGGCTGTGAGCACCAACAGCGTGTCTGCTAGGTCCACAAGAGGCAGGGCTGCCAACAGAGCGGCCTCCAGCGCTAGAGTCTCCACCAAAGCCCGGTATGCGTTGTTATAGTGATGAGCGTGGTCTATGCGACCGCCTGTGCACGAAATAAAGAAGAGTGGATGCGTCATCACTCTCATCATTATCAGCATCAGATCTTTACTTTCTAAATCAAGCTGTAGATTTGGTGGGCCTTCTGCTTACTTAGTAGCATCAGTTTTAATTAATTGTGTAACACAACTAACCGTAAATTCCCTACCTACTTAGCAAGAAAACAAAGAGACAAAATATTTAACGCCATCGAACATAACTTTCCTTCACAAAACCACGGTCACTCAGGTCTTCAAGGAACTTCTTGCTCTTTATGCCACTCAACGAATCACAGGAGCCTCCTACTGGAAGCTATCCAGGTGTTTCACAGCATGTACCCTATTCCTTCGAGATCCATTTTTATTTTATAACTTTATCTAGCGCTCTGTGATCCAAGTGCCCTCTTCTTTTCAGATTTACAACTATAATCTTCATGAACATCTCAACTCCTTCATTCATGATATATGACCGACTTTTCACTACCTCAGTAAAAAGTACGTAAAAGTAAAGCAAGCTATCCTTGTAACAGGCCATGAAGGCCCATAGAGAGATGAGACGTTAAGGGTCCCACACTATCTAGACAACCAGCTCAAAGATGGCGGCCGCGCTTTACTCCCCAGGAAAATTATTTCTTTAATTCCTGGTACTCATTTCTGTTAGAGGCTGAGTGAACCCCAGGGCTATAGTGCGGCCGGAAGGATTAGGTCAATTGAAAAAAATCCAATGACCTCATCGGTGTTTGAACCCGCTACCGCGTGGCCCTCCTAACTCAGTAAAGGGAAAAATATGCAGTAGTATTGTTCTCTAAATGTGGGTGCTATACTCCTCCGCAAGCATTCGTTACTTTCCGTGTTCCCTGAAATTTGCAGTCACCAGATAATTTTCCGTCAGGTTAACACGCACATCAATAACGGTACCACTCACATCAATGCACCTAGAAGACGAGTGGTTTTCTATATAATCTGGAGGGGGGGATTACATGGAGTTCTATCAAGTCCTCAGCATTTAACCTCGATTTTGTGTCCTTGGCCATAATTTATTCCTTTTCTAATTAGAACAAGGACATAAGTTTACCGACGTATGGAGAAAGCATATACATATAATGGCAGGGAAGTTTTGCCATTGCAGATTTTAGACAATTCAATGCGCAAGAAGATCGCTATGTGAAAACGCTTGCTGCTGTGTTGAAGTACTTCATACACACAGCATAGAGGATTTCGCTTAATTTTCCATTAGCCTGCTTCATACACAGTTGTACAAAATAACATGGAGGTATTAATTAAATCAGCATTAACTTGTAAACTGTAGCGCAATGGTTTTACGCACATGCGCACAGGCGCATAATAATATTTTACAAATTTGATTTAAACAGTACTTAATTAACACAAGTATCAAACTTCCAACAAGTATTATGATTGTAAAAGTGGCTCTGAATATTTCATGCTTCATACCCATATCCAGTTTGCTTACTAGCGCAATGTTTGATCAATTCAATTTCAGAAGCCTGAATTAGTAAAGCATAAGTTCAATTCAAAATTATACCACATATTTCACGTGTACTGTGTACTGCGTTTTCGAACCCTCCCTGTAGCGAATGTTTATTTAGACTACTCGTGTGAACTCCTACATCTGCACTATACATGGACGAACAAAAAGTGGCTAACATTATTAGCAAAACATCTATGCACTTGCCTTCTCGTATTGAGGATCCAAAACTCTTTCTTCGACTTTCAATACATTCTCTCGTTCATCGTTACCTAAGTAAGCCCACATATCTACCTCGCCACCTAACTACTTTTCGTTCCATTTCTGTTTTTAGTACGTGGAAAAGTAGACCGTATATATATATATATATACGGTCTACTTTTCCACGTACTAAAAACAGAAATGGAACGAAAAGTAGTTAGGTGGCGAGGTAGATATGTGGGCTTACTTAGGTAACGATGAACGAGAGAATGTATTGAAAGTCGAAAAAAGAGTTTTGGATCCTCAATACGAGAAGGCAAGTGCATAGATGTTTTGCTAATAATGTTAGCCNTCTATTTTTTGTATGGCTGTGAAATTTGGTCTCTTGCACAAAGGGCTCAGAACAAGAATGTTTGAGAATATTTTGCTGAGGAGAATATTTGAACCTAAAAGGAGTGAGAGGAGACTACAGCATATACTTCAGCACAAACACTCAGCAAATTCAAATTAAGAAATGTGAGAGGGGAGGGGCATGCAGCACGCATGAGAGATGTGAAAAATATGTGCAGTGGTTTGATCTGAAAACCTGAATTGACGAGAAAATTTGAATATATAGAGGGAAATGTTAGCATAATATTAAATTGAATCTTGATGGAATATGTTGGGAGGTCGTCGACTGCACTCATTTAGCTCAGGATGAAACAGGCAGCAGCTGCTTGAGACCAGGAAATTTTAAATTTTTCGGCTTAAGTAAGGCGAACCTTTTCTTGGCTGACTGGGTGGAGGTTTCCTTTTTAATAAGGACCTTGCTCAGTGCACTTAGTCGGATTGCTTCCTTAATTTGCTTCCACCCATTTTTCTTGACGAATGCAATGTCACTGATATCTTAAGGTTGTCCTAAATGTCCTTTCGTCTGGTAATTTGGGTGAAAGTAAGACTTTATTCATATATAAAAGATTTTATTCTGCATTATTTGCACTCGTCAAAGCACTCTTCCTTTCTTGATTTAGAATTCTACGGCTAACACGATTTGCTTTCAAGCAGATACGATGTTATTTTGGAGCAAAATTTCATATTAATTTATAGTCTTATCCCACGCGGATGTAGAAAGGGGTAGATCCTACTCCCATCCGACGGTCTCACAGGAGAAAAGAATACTTCTGTTTTCTGGGATATAACGCCGTATTGTCTGTTGAAAGTCAATCGACTTTTCACAGAAACATAACGATTCCATGTCCAAGCTTGCAAGCAAAATTTCCTTGCTGTCTGCTTCTTGCTGGATTCTTGCTTGACTTACCTTTCAACTTGAAGATGGAGGCGATATGTTCCTCCGAAATTTCGGTGGCCTTTCAACGTATTACACGGCGTTAACGTACGTCAGAATATCTTCACACTGGTGTGTTTATTACTAGCTAAGTAATTCCTGCACTGTGCAGACAATTTGTGTAATTCGTCAGACTTGTTGGCCTCATTTGCAGTCAATGATCTTCTGTTGTATGTACGCGCTATATGCCATTTTTTCAAATCTGAGTTTAAGACCTAGTTGTTTGAGTATTTGAGTGTATGGTTTTTCAGCCTCCACACTCGACATCTGAGTAAGTTAAGTAAACTGCGAAATGAGTTCTAACATAAGCTCTAATGCTTAATTATTTTACTGCATATACAGCAGTAGATGCGAATTAGCCCCACAAGAGAGCCTGCAATTCTGTTTAGTTCTGCTGAGCTGCTTTATTGATGCAGAGCGAAACTGTGGGCCCTGAAGAGGGAATACTATGGTCGCCAAAGCAGGGCTGCTTCAGTTGCCTGTCTGCAAACTCTGAAACTGGTGGCCGATATTTTCCTCCACTTCAGATTATCAGAGTACACAAAAGGAGGGACACGCACACAGTGTGTGGACAGAAGATATAAAGCAGCGTGCCTTTATCAGCATAATGAGAGGTATTGTCAGTACTTGTGCTGCGTCATAGCTATTTAGAACACCAACCACTACTCTTCAAAACCGCGATGAAGTCTCTTGCCTATTCTTCAAATAATTTTACTTTAGAAAAGCTGTGTCCCATACTAAGCATAACTTGTTACAGTACTTCGTACTACATGGATAGACACTTATTTTTATATGCGCGTCCTTGAATTTGATTTTGCCAACATTGTCTTCCAGCTAACGTCCGGAATGTTGCAATTGGCCCCGGTTATCATACATCCCAGAAGAGAAAGAGCTCTTCATAGCCACAGCTGTGAGAGCCTAAGCTCCTTCATAAGAGGTGTATTGGAGATCTCCGACTCTTAATTTGTGCTCATTATAAACAAGTATGTGGGTGTACACTGCATTGTACGGTCTCGTGCTGGGATCCAGTATCACGCTCTAGTGAACAAAGCAGTTAAACTACTGGCTGCTTATAAGACAGGCATTTTCTTGAAAGGTTTCCGATTATCATCTTTCCTCTTGGCCTTGGTTCCATTAAGTTAAGTAATTCATCATGGAGTCTTCTTCTCCTTCTTCCATACCTGAGTATTAGAACTTCTGTCCTCTTGCAACGCAGAATTAGCAGCTGTGTACTCACAGACGCTTCGCAGCAACTTGGATACGGCATCAACAGTTCTTCACACTGCCTCTTGGGAATTCGATCCCGCAACCTTCCGGCTTGTATAATAGTGCCTCAACCAACTACGGCTACCGCTCATTACGCTAAGGACTGCGATATACGTTCGGAATTTTGTAGCCGAAGTGGACTGTAATGTGTAGTTATCATGCAGTTCGTAAACTCTGCATGTGGACTGCATTTTGTAGTTCTCACCACTGCAACTTTATTTGCCATGGAAACAAGGCTTTCGAAGAAGCACTGTTGCGCAGAACGAGGTGAAGGCAGGCGGTGCAGTCAAGGTCATACAGTCCGTGTAGGAAACATAACCGCAACTGAGGAGTCAGCATCTCAGCGAGGATCGATCCAAATGAACAGCTGGCGTCAATCTCGACCGCAAAATACGTTCGCGTGTGGTGTTTATTACAATTTCCATGGTGTGGGCTGAACCGCTGAGACGCGATTGCAAGTCAACTGCATGTGCAGTCCATTTCAACTGCAAAATTCAGGACCTATCTCCATAACCAATTCATTACCAGATTTCTCGGAGTAACCAACGACTCACGCCACTCACTACTTCAAGTCTGTTTCTGCACAGATATCGATGCTACGCTGCAAGCGACCTCAACTGTTTTCGAAGGAAACTCTACTGTAGATCTTTATAGGCGTGGAGAATTCATGGACTCGACTCATGGAGAATTCTAGTAAGGTCTCCGTGTCAGCGGTCTTCCGAGGTCTTCCATAATGCACCGAAGGCGCAAGCAGGAAGGTTTTATGTTTCAATCGAACGAGAGGGCAGGAGACACACAGCTCCGGCGGCAATAGACACTTTGCATAAAATAATAGTTCAGGGGTCAGAGAGAATCGCTCAGGATTATCAAGCGTGAGAATTCCTCAAAACTCCGTGACCTGTAGTCCGCAAGCGAACTATACCGACCGAGCGACAGCCGCTTGTCGGTGAAGTTAGTGGCAACTTTAGCGGATTGAGGGTGTCGCGTGGTCAGCGCAACGGATCCCCACGGCCATTAATCTCGGTTTTCTAGACCGTAGCCTCTATTTCCTTGCATTATCCTCACAAGGTTGAGTGGATTCCGTGTCAGACCCACTATTTCTGAATAAATCTACTAGCGCCGGGAATCTAACACGGACCTCTGGATCTGTAGCCAAAATCTCTGACCACTAGACGACAGAGGCGGTCGAGCATACCTAGGACATGGTTTAATTTTAGCTTTGAAACTCTTGTTAATTGAATCGCATTAAACATGCTACAGAATGCAAAGAAGACGTCTAACGGGACGATAACATACGATCTGCTATGCACAATGCGTGCTTACTTACCTTCAACAAAGAGGAGGAACCCTCGCGGGTTCTTGGCTAGGATGGACAGAGCGACACGGGTCATGTCAGCCAATGAAGGGTCTCCATTAGGCCCTGTGTCTCGGTCCGCTTCGAAGTCGAGATGAGAATACGCAAAGAGACCTGCAGCAATATAAAACTTGTTACATCGGGGCAGAAGGCAGTTGAATAAACTAACTTAACTAACTCCGTGTGATTATCGTAGGTAAGGAGGATGAATTCGATACTCAGACTCTATACCTTCTGATGTTCTGATGATAATCGTACTTGAATGATGAATTGGAAATTATTCAGAGGGAAGCTGTCGTGGTCTCATCGTGGTACTACCTCGTGTCTGCCTGGCTGTTATAGTCCTTGAGAAGCGAGTAGTTAGTCAAGAAATTCCCCGCCTTCTGTGGAACCCGAAGGTTTTCCAGTGCCTACAAGGGCACGCCACCGAAAATTACCCTAAGTTAACTAAGGCTAGTCCTCAACTATGGACCCGATATGCTAAAAATACATTTTAATATTATAAACCCGTATAGGCCTATGCCATCCACGTGGCCTTTTTCCTTCCAGTTTTCGGAGTAAGCTTATGTGTGAATTCCTCTTTTCCAATATAAGCGTCACATGTCCCATCAATGTCATCCTGTCTATTTCATCTATGGATGTACAGCGCTTTCCCCTTCGTTGATGGTGAGGGGGTTTGAGTATGCCAAGGACCCTGAGAGCTATACCAGAGGTATAGGTAGCTACTGGCAGGGCCTCCCTTGCTGGACAGGTCAAAGGGTAGGTATCAGACGAAGAGAGACACCAAAAACCAAAAACTGATGCCGGAAGCAGCGTCCTCAGCAGCGACTTGAAGCACAGAGCAAGTGATGCTCGAGATGATTCAAGTTCGTATAGCAACAGGCGTGACCAGAGTGGTTTGAACGGCTGCTGTACTGCGATGTGGAAAGCAAATGGAAAAACTACCACATTATCACTTTTCCTGGATAGTCTCTTTCTAAAAACAGAGATACCATGTATGCTAGATGTATCCTCTGGAGACAAAACAAATCGGAGGGGCGGATAGAAGTGACCAGAAGACGAGGAAGAAGACGTAAGAAGATGCTGGATGACTTTGGGGACAGAAGAGGATATTTTTATTTGAAGGAGAAAGTTTGAGATCGCATTAAATGGAGGAACTGTTTTGAAAAAGACTGTGGACCTGTCGTCTGAAAGATTACTGAAAAAGAAAGTAAGCCCTTTGTCGAATCTTTGCCTGTTTTTCAGTTTCTTGAGCTTTTCACAGAGTCGGTAGGACTCCTTAGACGGCGGATCAGCCCGTTGTAAGGCCGCTATACGCACACAGGACAGCATGAAGACAGAATTAAAGCACACAGACATCCATGCCTAAAGTGGAATTCGAACGCACGATCACATTGTTTGGGAGGGTGAAGAGAGTTTCTTGTCTTAGACCGCGTGGCCGCTGTGGTCGGCATCCATTTCATCTTACAAAAAGTATAAATAACGTTCGAGATTAAATGCAATTTGGTCTTCTTCGTTTCTCTTTTGGCAAGCAGTTAAATAATATTTGTATTGCGATAGAGAGGGGATGTACAGGGGCCATATTTGTCTTTGTGCAATATTACTCTGACTGATAGAAAGTATACTATTAGCTCAAGCGGCTAGTCACTGGCTTCCCACCGCGTCGGCCCGGGTTCGATCCCGAGTTTGGTCAAGTGGGATTTATGGTGGACAAAGCGGCGTTGGGGCAGGTTTTCTCCAAGTACTTCGGTTTCCCCTTACAATCTTCATCCCACCAATTGCTCCACAATCACCCTCACCTATCATTTGGGGCTGGTACAATAGGCCAGAAGTGACCACAGTACAAGGGACTTATTTCCACCCCACTAGCAATAAAAATAAATAAAAAAAATATAAAAGTATACTATTATCTCCTGGGGTTGTTATAATAATGCACACGAGATTTTCTTTTTTGTGTAACTCCTGTTTATTGAAGACTGGTATGCTTGAAAATATCTGCAGAGAATTCTCAGAATCCTACCTACGTCAATGTAATATTTTGGACTTGTTATAAAACACGCATAACTATAAAGCTAGAGGAACTATGCGTTCAGATACTGAAGGTTCCAGGACTGCATTACATACCCAGCAAGTGGTCAACACGACGGGGGTCAACCCGCTCCATTTCTGCACGATTCCATACGTATTCAGCCCGCAAACCTCTTCGCTTCTTCTCGCGCAGCCAATCAGCAATGAGATTACGTCCATCTAAGCGACGACCTTCCTCTCCGGGAGGCTCAGGGTCACGTGATACTTTAGGTAGCCAATGTCGTCGCCCTCCGCCAAGTACAACCTGCAGAGAAGATAAGGGGAATTACGTAAACAAACATGGGAGAGAAGTCTTAGCGTACACATGAAATTTTTAGTTGGCCGATAGTTGGCCGATATTCGGGCACGTCGCCGAGAAACATTGCGTTTAATGGGAGTGCGCACACATCGCGATAGTTGTTCCAACAGTGGGTGAGTCTAATAACTTACATACCCTTAATGTTTTGTAAGAGAAAAATACTATTTTTGTGTGCTTTGTGTTTGCAATGGGGCATGCTGTAGCGTAGTTGGTTGAGGCACTATGCTACAAGCCGGATGGTCGCGGATCGAATCCCGATGAGGTCACTGGATTTTTTCAATTTACCCAGTCCTTCCAGCCTCACTATGGCCCTGTGGTCGACTCAGCCTCTAACAGAAATGAGTACCAGGAATATTCTTGGAATGTTCTTGGCGGTAAAGGGCGGCCGGCGCGTAGGGCTGACAACCATACCGCCATCTATGAGCACGTTGTGTAGAGAAAATGTGGGAACCTCAACATCTTACAATCCTATGGGCCTCCACGGCCTGTTACAGAAATACCTTTACTTTACCTTTTTACTTTTTCTGTGTTTGCAATAATAATTCTAGAAATATTAAACTTCAATCTCCATCTTATATTCTTGTACAAGGTTTGAGGTTTCAGAAGAAGCAACAATTCATCAAAACTATCGACACTCATTCTGCAATAATCGAAAAATTTTGATGGGTGTTGTCTCAGTTCATGGTACAATGTGTAAAATTTTCCTTTTAACAGACGTTCCTTATTTATAATAAGGTGAACCCAATATTCCCGCTGATCAATAATGCACACACTATTGCTGTATCGTACACATCCATGATGCTACTGACCGACTGCTCATTGGAATTGTATGTGTGCGCACGTCCCTCAACAGTCGTTGGGCCTCCACGATCGTGCACAACTATCGGCCAACTATCGGCCAGCTAAAAATTGGTAACAGAATTTCATCTGTCAGGACTGAAACCAGTCTCTGAACGTGCGTCTGTTATCTAGACGATCATGGAGCTGGACTGTGCTGCTACCTAGTGATACAAACAGAAATCCTATTACAGACATTACAGCTGTTTTACTTCCGTTTAATTGAATATGTACTAGGCCTTGAAGACGTATGGGGGAGTAGAGATATAGCTCCAACATTCCTGACCTCGGCTTTGACCGTGGACGTGAGTGGTCAGCTTCACGCCCTGACCGCTTTACTCCAAGGTTAAATTCCCCGATACCCATTGGATAAAGAGATGGTTGGGCCACAGAACCAGTCAGGACAGTAGGGAGAAGAGAAAGTTTTCCCTTTCCTAGGAATCCTTCCCCTGCCTTCCAACCCGTAGCCCGTCACTATTGTAACTGTCCAGCTTATGGTATGGTCAATTGATGTTTTGTGTACTGTTAGGTTTCTGTGAAATTCCTCACTTTCTTCTCACAATTTAGATTCCCCCCCCCCTGGACACTGCAGCAAGTGGCTTGAGTCAAGCTTGAAGCCGGCTGCCCATTCGTAAATCAGTCAATTTAATGCGTGACACAAGGCCGAGTCCTTTAGAAATTCTAAAGTTGACAGGGGAAGTCATAATTTTAGCAGCGTCGTTTCCTGCTACCACAAAATCTCAGTTTGACAGCCACGCAGCAGGTGGCAAAGTTCACCCCTAAACTGTACACTAGTGGATATTCGCTTTCCTAATTGGAGGAGAAAAGTTAAGCAACCTCCCAGTCTGCCCGGTCCAGCCAATCATAATCTGAAGTGGGAGGTCCTTTGCCCGAATTTTGGGTAACCAAGACAAATATTTACACTTCAGAGCTTGCTTGACGAAAGGACTCTGAAAGTTACCTTCACCGGGTGTACACGTGTTCTGATCCCCGTGAACACCCCCTGTGGTGACTATTAAGTGTGCGTCTCAGAAAACAGTAAGGAAGCCTACATCCACAATTCTGTGAAGTGTCACTACGGTGCTGTTTCCATTTAAATAGTGCAGATTGAATAAAGACTTCAGTTTATTGGTGTTGAGGTGAATTCCCTACGCCTAAAGCCCCACTAATCACCCAAGTCGTGGCCAGTCAACACGCCCTGAGAGGAGTTCGATTTCTCTACCGGAGCTAGTAGAACCAAAGAACGGTTACACAATACCGACTGAGCTGTTACACCTCCTCCGCTGTATACAGTGTGTATCTCAGAACCTCTGGAGTTCTGTCAATATCATTGTTTATATAAAGTAAGACTGTCTTTTTCCTTCACAGCAAAGAGAATAGAGGGTTTGGAGAGAAGACAGTTTTTTTTTCATTTCAGAATAAATTTCTTTACTGTCAAAAGAACTTAACCATCACGATATAATATAAAATCATTTTAATTGAGAATTATCTCAACTAACCCTCCTCACTAACGAGATTGTCGCTTAGCAGACGTTGACAATAAATTTGAGTTGTACACCCGATATGAATGGATTTCTCTACTAAAATATTTTATTTGTGAAAATTTGTACATATTAACGGAGATGTTTACACATACCAAAAATGTGTATGTGCAAATGTAAGTACAAAATAGAAGGAAATGTAATAAAAATTTATGTTAGTAGAAAATAGTGTTTCCCAACTGCAGTGAAATACACTGTATTACAGAAATAATAAAAAAATCAATTGAAGTTCCATTGAATCGCATTTCAAGTTGACATAGGTCGTTAGCTTTCTGACTCTGCAGTTTCGTGGGTAAGTTTATTCATCGATATTTTGAAAGCGAAGGGGAATTGATGAACCAATATTTTTTTTCCCTCGGCACTACAGCCCCAGTGGGCCTAGGCCTACCTCCATGAACTTCTCCGTTCACTCCGTTTCTCTAGATCTTACACATTCAGTAGGACTCCTTGGGCTGGTGATCAGCTCGTCGCAAGGCCTCTACCTGTACACAAACACAGAAAAACGCACACACACACTAAACATCCATGCCCTGAGTGGGATTCGAACCCACGATCCCGGTTTCCAAGCGAGCGAAGACAGTACATGCCAAATCAATAAATTATCAACGCAAATTTTAAACAACCATTTACCATACTTGATTTCGCCTCATAGAGCTTTGATCTGTCCTCATTGCAATGAGTGCAGAAGCTCGCACATATCCACCCTGGGCCCAATTTTTATATATACGAGTACATCATATTTCTCTCAAATATTCATTTGTGCGGTAAGATTTTAATATAATTTTGTTTCCATGAGGCTTCCCTCTATTCAGTAATGCTCTCTAAGGGATCAACAGTTGCTCGTTTCCAACACTTCACATAGAGAGGTTAATAACGAAGAGATTGTTTATATTTGTACAGATAAAAATGCCAAACATGGAATATGTGGTAAAATTCTAGATAAAGATATAACCCCATTTAAAATTATCACCCATATGAACTCCGGGCCATGTGACAAGTTTCGTTGCAGTAAGCACTAAAACCTAACTTCATGAACGGTTCTGTCTCCTGAGACACAGCACCATATAGTCCGCTGAAAGCCACATAACGTTCTGGAGCAATAAGTCGCATCTATCTTCTGGGTCGAAGGCAGAGTCATAATGCTTGATACCTGTTTCATGCCGGTTTCCTGGCTCATTCTCTACCATGACAATGGAGGTGACATATTCCTCCGAAACGTTTATTCAGTTTCAACAAACGACGCTGTATCCTAGAAGATAAAACTCTTTATAACCATCGGCGTAAGAGCCTCAAATGCTACTAATACTTTAAACTGAGGTCCTTTTCTGGAGGCTGAGGTACGAATTACTGAGGCTCAAATCCTATAGACCTAAGGAGGAGTATCGTGAGAAATGGAGGGCTGTTAGATCCGGTTTCAAAGAATTCCGCAGTATGTAATTCCCGAGGACCAGCTCAACGGCATCTGTCCATTTAAGCGTATATCAACAATAGACTGTGGGTGAAATCTATACCAGAAAGAGTGACGTTGGGAGATCAGGGGTGTTTCGGTATGTCGTTATGTCGTACGGCTTCGTGAACAGTGTAAAACTTTAAGCCATACAAAGTAGGGGGAATATGGAGCTATGGGATCCAACTGTGGGGTTGTGCTAAACCGTCACACACAAAAATCATACAGAGAATACAGTCAAAAATCCTACGAGCAGTCGCAGATGCACCCTGGTATGTGTCCAACTTAACTCTTCACAACGACCTCCAAACTCCTTTCGTCAGTGACGAGATTCGCAGACTGTCGAGACTATAGCGCACGGCTAGATGGACATAGCAACAAACTCATAGCGGCCCTGAATACTCCGCCAAAGGTGCCAAGGAGACTAAAACGGCAATGGCCTACTGACCTCCCAGAAACCGCTGAAGACACGGCAAACAATATCAACCATCTACAGGACTGATAGGGGATTCATCAGAGGATGAATGCTCCACTCATGCCACCAATCCACAGATTTACTCAATGCTCCACAAATAAGAGAGCAGATTGTAAATACGCAGTTAATAAAAAAAAAGTAGGGGGAGGAAGAACAGAGATCCTTGGAAGAATTAATCGCTTACCTTCCTTGGTATAGCATGAACCGCGTATAAAAATGACGGATCCAAAAATTCTTCTATTGTTACGTAAGTATTCGTTGCAGTGGTAACGTTTTTACCGAGTCAATGCCTAGCGAAGATGGGGGATACATATACACACAGACTGAAGGGAGATATTTAAGAAGTACCAAAATGGGATGGGCTCAGCTGTCATGATATAGTACATACCAAGTTTCATAAAAGCTGGTTCAGCTTTCAAAAAGTGATAGGGAGGAATACGCAGATATACAGGCAGACAACATAATTTTTTTTTATTGCTAGTGGGATGGGACTAAGTCCCTTGCACTGCAGCCACTTCTGGCCTATTGTACCAGCCCCAGATGATAGGTGAGGGTGATTGTGGAGCAGTGGGTCTAATGAAGATTTGCAGGGGAAACCGAAGTACTCGGAGAAAACCTGCCCTAGCGCTACTTTGTCCACCACAAA